TATCATTATTTGTTCAATTTCACACATGTTCAGATATCATCAAGATTATGCGACAAAGTAAACTTGTTTGTGCCTTCTGTGTTTTAATTCCTTACGACTATTATGATATAATAACAATTCCTAGCACTTCCAGGCCATCAAATAAACCTACACTACTCAGCATTGCTTATCAGAGCCAGGGTGCCCTAAACATTCTTCTCATGTTTTCTTAAGGGGGCCGGGGGGGGTCTTCATCAAAATTCTCTCGAAATTGACTTTATAGTTGTTTCTGGTAGAAGGGAGTGATATCTACCAGCTGCTTTTGGTCCCATGGAAAAATATTGTTCCTAGCCGAATTTATCGCCGGTCTAAGGTCAGCGCTTATGTGTAATTGTATTGCGCGAGCGATTTTCAATCGCAAATTCTGAAAATCGAGTCTAAAAATCTATCTTCTCCTACATTTTTTGAGCAATTAACCTGAAACTTTCAGGGTATATTCTAAGGACCATTTAGAAGAGATCGTTCAAGCCAAAATTTTGAGATAGGCCTTTAAAAAAATTTTATTCAATTTTGAAAATCTTGGACCTCGTTTTTTTACGATTTTTTCAGGTCCAAGATTTTCAAAAATTAATAGAAATTTTTAAAGGCCTATCTCAAAATTTTGGCTTGAACGATCTCTTCTAAATGGTCCTTAGAACATATCCTGAAAGTTTCAGGGTGATTGCTCATAAAATGTAGGAGAAGATAGATTTTTAGACTCGATTTTCAGAATTTGCGATTGAAAATCGCTCGCGCAATACAATTACACATAAGCGCTGACCTTAGACCGGCGATAATTTCGGCTAGGAACAATATTTTTTCAAGGGACCAAAAGCAGCTGGTAGATATCACTCCCTTCTACCAAAAACAACTATAAAGTCAATTTCGAGAGAATTTTGATGAAGACCCCCCCGGCCCCCTTAAACCGTTTCAGTCACCGGCTACACCACCCAGTCTATGTACCTTCTCTGTTCTAGCCATACCAGGGTCCTAGCCATACCAGCGTTCCTTACTCTCAGTACTAGCACATAACTGGTCGTCCCATAACGAGCACAATCGCCCCTACTTAACAACACTCGTCGACGCTCCCTGTACTTGTATTTTGGACATTTACTTTACTATCAATTAATTGAGTATTAAATAACAATCAGATTAATCAATAACTAATTACCCACATTTCCAGGTCACCGTCAGTCCGAGTGTCCATTGTGATTGCCTGAACTTCAGGTCTTACCCAGAATTACCGTGCAAACATTTGGCGGTTATTCGTGAGTCGAACGTTGAATGGATCGATCTTCCGCTTTCATTCAGGTAAGAAACGGATCTTGCTTCATTTAAGTAATTATGAATAACCTATTTCAGCGTAAAACTAGTTGTTTGATCATTACATCCTCTTGTATCTGATGATTGATTGAGGAGCACTACCCAGAGGCATTACTCGGCACTAACGCCTTAAAATCTTTAATTACAATCAAATATAAATATATGCACACAATGTATAAAATATGGATAATGTATAAAATATGACTACGCTATTACCGTAGCAAATTTGAATAGTACTACTATTAAGAATTTGTAAATAACTCTTATCTCTTGACATAAATTTAGAACAGCGACACAGGGTCTGAAGAATGCGCGGTGATATTTGTGTCTTGTAAATGACAGTGAAATTGCGCGGTAGCGATAGCATTGTAGAAAATGCTCGAAGATAGTCATATTTCGTTATGAGGTTAAAGTTTTGTTGCTCGTTATTATCAACGTACGTTGTATCAAATTATTTAAATTTCTAAAAGTACGAAATTTGAGTTTTTCCAGTCCTTGTCATCCGGGTTAAGTGCTTGTGCAGTAAGCACATGCTTGCTGACTGTAGACTTGAATGAATTTAGGAATTTGTCTTGTAGGCAAGTCGTGACATATTTTATGTCCTTGTTAATAATGTTGACTGTTTTGTTATATAACTTAGGCCCAATGTAAGAAATGCTCTTGTCTGAATTACATAAACGGTTAAATGGTACAGCAAAGAACTCAGGTTCTCTTCTAGGTGCGTTTAAGTTTGAAACAGTGAACATTCTTATAATATTTGGTGGTGCAGTGTTAGTATAAACTTTGTGCATTAAGCATAATATACATTTAGCTATCACGTTCGGTAAAGCTAATACTTCTAGTTTATTGAAAATTTCCTTTGTGTGTGAAGGTGTACTGTTCAGATCTTTGTCATAAAAATAGCGGTGGTATTGGTTATCTGCAGCGCGAATGCCCTTTTTCTGGGCCGAGAAGACTCTTTTAACGGAGTTTAGCGATCTTGTTCCCCAAACTGTGCAGCAGTAGTACAAGTGAGACTGAACAAAGCTGTTGTATATCAACTTGAGTGCTTTGTTAGGTACAGAGCCTTTGAGTTTGTAGAGTATGCCCGCATTTCTAGATACTTTAGTGGCTAAATGTCTAATGTGGTGGGCCCAATTTAGCTTAGTATCAATGATTACGCCAAGAAACCTTTCGTGATCACTTTGCTTTAATCGTTCACCTCCCATGTAAATTTCTATATCCTCAGTTTTCTTATTTGTAAAGATCATATATTTAGTTTTGCTAGCATTTAATTTAAGCCCGTTATTAGTAGCCCAATCAATTATCAAAGTCAGAATCTCATTCACCATTGCATTAAGTTGTTCAAATGTATCTGTACTTATTATTAGGTTGGCGTCGTCAGCGAAATAAATATGTTTAGCTAAATTACTAATCTGAGGAAGGTCGTTGATGTAAATTATGAACAGAATGGGTCCGAGAATGGAGCCCTGTGGTACTCCGTAGTTAAGTTTGAGGTGAGAGGACTTGCAGTTGTTGACGCTCACGTATTGCTCTCTATCGGTAAGATATGAGTGAAACCAAGATAAAGCCAATCCCCGAACTCCATAGTGCTCAAGTTTTCTCAGAAGAATACTGCTGTCAACCATGTCAAAGGCCTTGCTGTAGTCCAATAGAAGCAGTGCTGTGACCTGCTTTTTTTCTAGTGCCCTGTGGATATGGTTTTGGGCTTCTAGTAAAGCATGTTCACAGCTATGCCCAGCTCGAAATCCGTATTGAGAGTCAAATAGGATTTTCTCTGTCTTTAAGTGATCTAATAGTCGCGCTTGCATAATTTTTTCAAAGATTTTTGAGAAACACGAAAGTAGTGAGATAGGTCGATAGTTTGAAACTTCAGCACGTGACCCACCTTTGTGAAGTGGAATTACTTTCGCGATTTTCAATTGATGTGGAAACTTCCCCTGATGTAGAGACGCAGAGACTAGGCAGCTAAGCACTGGCGCAAGTATATTGCTCACTTTTTTCAGGGGAAGTATACTCATATCAGAAGTCGACTTAATCTTCAGACCCTTAACTATTTCAATTATTTCTGATGCGGACGAATCTTCTAGATTCATGCTCCGCTGGCATCTGCTATCTTGAGTTTCTGTTACGATAGTCCGGCCCTCGGAGCATACGAGACCATTTTCTCTCTTAAGAGTCTCAGCTATATTGCAGAAATAGTCATTGAAGCTATTCGCAATTTGCTGAGAATCTGTTATCTCGCTCCCATTATAGTTAATTTTGTTTATCTTGATTTTGCCTTTTTTCTTTCTGTTTAACAAGTTATTAACCATTTGCCATTGTTTTCTGCTGTCGCTAGAATATTTTGTAAAGTATGCGTTGTAATATTTGTTTTTGGCCTTATCCACGTGTTTATTCACAAATTTCTTCATTTTCTTGTACCTAATATCATTTTCAGTGGTCGGGTTTGTGACAAAATCTTCATAAAATTTATTTTTGCGATCACATGCGCACCGTAACCATTCTTGGATCCACGGCTTTGTGTTTTTACGGCGGCCTGGTTTACTCTTTTTTGCCTTCATTGGGAAATTTCGGTCGTATAGTTCACTATATTTTTTCTCGAAAGCCTCAAATTTTTCATCTGCAGAATCATAGTTATTAACCAAGTTCCAGTCTACGGCAGAAATGTCGTTCTCGAACTTTTTGATGCTGTCATCGTTTATTACTTGAGAAGATGTTTCTGTTGTATCTTCTTGAAACGCTATGCCTATTTTGATACGGATTCTATAACAAATAATTTCATTGACACTGTATCGCAGGCACAATCCTCACCTATGCACGGATCCTGGTGCTAGCTGTTCGACTCAAGAAGTTAGTCTTCCACTAACAGTACACGATAGTCTTCCACAAGACCAGAGCCCGAAGAAAACAGATAAAAACACTGAGGGAGACCTAAATACAACATTCGGAAAGCTTGCAGATCTTAGGAGCATGATCTATAAGTTCGTTTTTATTACGCTATAGTTTAGAATTTAGATATCTTGTATTAAGTTGAAAAGGTGTTATTCGAGTGTTATAAAAAATGTCGATGGTTAGGCTCCTAAATTGAAAGGACAGATAGGTAGATAGGGTAAAAGGTAGAAGTATTGGGTGACCTAGAATAACATCTGGAAATCCAAACTTTCAAGAAACCTTAAGGGGGGGGGGGTTCACCCTCATTTTTTTGTGAAACTTGGTTTCGAGATGGCAGTTGACCAACAAACTAGGACCGGTGACCGAACTTTTGAGGGGGTCCCGGACCCCAACCGCCAAACGGTGCCCGCGGGGCAGCCACGCCCATATTTGGTCCAAATTAGGCCCAATCTAGCCAAATACCCTGAAAATGCCCAAAACCCCCCCCCCCCCCCCCCCCCCCCCCCCTTAAAATAATATTGTTCAAAGCGGCTTGCAAATCATTACTAGTGTGCGAATCACAAACCTGATGAAAAATACCGTGACACAACAAAATTTGCGACTATCTGTATATTAACTCATAATTTTTTCAGTGTTGATCCTGAAAATAAACGTGAGATGAGAGACCTTGTCTCAAGTGTTATTGATGGGATGCTTCTTCAACGGTAAGTAAAATAAACTAAATAACAAAAGTAGATAGATAAAGTGAATATTTAACAAGTTAACACTTTAACACAAAGGTTAATTGATAAAATTAACAATCACCATGTAAACGTGCGATGTCATGAAAGCCCTGAACAACCCCCTCCTTCATGAAGAGCTAGCTAAAGTGTTCAACGAGTCTTTCGAGAAAAACATTCACATTGAAGCAATAAGAGCAGGCATTCTTACACCACTGGCTAAGCCTGGTAAAACTCGCGGCCCAGTTAAGTCGATACGACCATTGACCCTGCTGAATGTTTCTAGCAAGATCCTGTCACTGATAGTGCTAAACAGAATAGAGAGAGCTGTGGACAACTTCACCGGACCGTTCCAAGCTGCCTACAAAGCTGGCAAGAGCTGTGCCGACCTAGTTTGGGCACAGAGCATGCTCATATCTGTAGTAATGAAGAAGGAGTTTGAATGGAACAAAGTGAGTATTGACATGTCAGCTGCCTTCAATACCATCCGCAGAGGTACAACAATCAGACTACTAGAAGCTGCAGGATGCTCCAGAGACGACCTGAGGCTTGTACAATACCTCATGGCTAACACCACTCTAGTAGTCAGAGTGTGTTCTACTGACTCAGAGATGTTCTCTTTCAACATAGGAGCCTCCCAAGGAGACAGCACAGCTGGTAAATTGTTTACCCTCAATCTAGCTGGAGCTGTAGTGCACATAAGAGCAGTCCTCCCCTCAAGACCCAACCCTCCGATAGCCGATAACCACATGCCTCTTGAGTCCGGCTATTCAGACGATGTAAAGAAGATTGGTGAAGATATGGAGGAGTTACAGGATATCTTTCAGATCTCCAAGAATATTCTCAGTGAATGGAGTCTCTTTGTCAATGACACAAAGACAAAGTTTACCAGAGTGTATTTAGAAGAAGTTGGTGCCTGCGACGAGTTGGATAATGGGCTAAGAGGAAAAGAGGAGTGGAGAAACGAGACGCTTCTTGGTACTAAGCTTGGATCAGAGCAGGATGTTACTAATAGAATAAATAAAGCTAACACCGCCTTCTGGTCATTTGACAAGCTGTGGTGCCAGGGATCAGAGAGGAGTCAGATAACTGAAAAGAGAAAGATCAAACTCTACGACTCACTAGTAGTATCAGTGCTCCTGTACAACTGCTGCTGCTGGGCCGTACCTCAGCATGTTCTAGAGTCTGTAGATGTTTTTCAGAGGAAGCACCTCAAGCGCATCCTACACATCTATTGGCCTAGCTCAATATCTAACAAGGCCCTCTACGCTCGTACCCAGACCAGGCCCCTTTCCGAGAGAGTGGAAAAGGCACGGTGGACAATGCTAGGTCATGTTCTACGCAGTGACAACGACACGCCTGCCTACCAGTCTCTGTTATTTGCTACACTAGGATGTCAAACGCTAAAGGGACGAGTGGGTAGACATAGGACTAATTTGTATGATATTATTGTGAAAAAGGACCTATTTAAGAGACAAATTTATTTGAAAAACGAAGATGATTTTACCAACTTAGTGAACTTAGCAAGAGATAGAGTAGGATGGAGGAGTTTATTTACTTTGAGACATATTGAACGAATGAGTCTTCGTAAGCGTAAATAGGCCAGCACTTTGCTGAGCCTCTTTAGGTGCTCTTTTGTTTATAGATGTTATTTTATATGTAAACATGTAAACGAACAATTTATGAATTTGTGAAAAGGTGAAATTGTGAAAATCAGTTCTTTACGTGTCAACTGTCATGTGATACAGTTTCTATGTGAAGCTGAAAAATATTATTTGTATTTTATAGCTGGACAATGACCGTTGCTAATGACCGCTGCTAATGTTATGTATATGTTACTATCTTGCTGTTCAAATATGTGTATTGCAATGAACATATATTTTTTCGACGATGTATCAAAACATTTAACATTCAGGCTTTCGGAGATGACAAAGATTGACATGACGGTAACAGCAACTCGGGACGATTTGTCACTGTTGTCAACGACTTCTCGGGCAGAAAAGCGGACGGACTTCGCAGATTCGCTCCCAAAGCGAGCAAAAAAAAGCGAAAGAAGTTTCCCGAAAGGAAACTAAATTATGGTTTCGGATCAGACTCTGATTTCGAGAATGATGTATGATTTGGTCGAATTTTATGAATTTAAATCTGATTTTTGTTTTATTTTATTGCATCATTTATTGCTTTATTAATTTTTTCTTTTTTACAAAACAAGTTGTTTTCATTTTAATACTGTATAATGAATGAAACCATCTCCTCTTGATTCCCTGTTCTACGTAACACTTATTATGAGTCTCCGATCGCTTAAAAGAGGAAAAATGTATCTGTTCATTGTTCAAGTAGGTCATTAAAATGGATTAGTTGCTTACCCAAATATTATATTCAGAAAAACAGCAAGCGAGCATTATTGGAATTGTTGTTAAAGCAACCTCAAACAAATTGATAGATTATTAATACACAATTGCTGTATGCTATTGAGAGTACACTTACAGCGAACCACGCTGATAGTATGCTATAATTTCAAATAATACTGGATATAGTGAACTGTATTTCCCAATAATACTGGAGATAGGTGTACTGTATTTTCCAATAATACCGGAGATAAGTGTACTGTATTTTCCAATAATACTGGAGATAAGTGTACTGTATTTTCCAATATTACTGGAGATAAGTGTACTGTATTTTCCAATAATACTGGAGATAAGTGTACTGTATTTTCCAATATTACTGGAGATAAGTGTACTGTATTTTCCAATATTACTGGAGATAAGTGTACTGTATTTTTCATTAATACTGGGGATAAGTGTACTGTATTTTCCATTAATACTGGAGATAAGTGTACTGTATTTTCCAATAATACTGGAGATAAGTGTACTGTATTTTCCAATAATACTAGAGATAAGTGTACTGTATTTTCCAATAATACTGGGGATAAGTGTACTGTATTTTCCAATAATACTGGAGATAAATGTACTGTATTTTCCAATAATACTAGAGATAAGTGTACTGTATTTTCCATTAATACTGGAGATAAGTGTACTGTATTTCCAATAATACTGGAGATAAGTGTACTGTATTTTCCAATAATACTGGAGATAAGTGTACTGTATTTTCCAATAATACTAGAGATAAGTGTACTGTATTTTCCAATAATACTAGAGATAGGTGTACTGTATTTTCCAATAATACTGGAGATTAGCGTACTGTATTTTCCAATAATACCGGAGATAAGTGAACTGTATTTTCCAATAATACTGGAGATAAGTGTACTGTATTTTCCAATATTACTGGAGATAAGTGTACTGTATTTTCCAATATTACTGGAGATAAGTGTACTGTATTTTTCATTAATACTGGGGATAAGTGTACTGTATTTTCCATTAATACTGGAGATAAGTGTACTGTATTTTCCAATAATACTGGAGATAAGTAAACTGTATTTTCCAATAATACTAGAGATAAGTGTACTGTATTTTCCAATAATACTGGGGATAAGTGTACTGTATTTTCCAATAATACTGAAGATAAATGTACTGTATTTTCCAATAATACTAGAGATAAGTGTACTGTATTTTCCAATAATACTGGAGATAAGTGTACTGTATTTCCAATAATACTGGAGATAAGTGTACTGTATTTTCCAATATTACTGGAGATAAGTGTACTATATTTCCCAATAATACTAGAGATAAGTGTACTGTATTTTCCAATAATACTGGGGATAAGTGTACTGTATTTTCCAATAATACTGGAGATAAATGTACTGTATTTTCAAATAATACTGGAGATAAGTGTACCATGTATTTCCAATAATACTGGAGATAAGTGTACTGTATTTCCCAATAATACTGGAGATAAGTGTACTGTACTTTCCATTAATACTGGGGATAAGTGTACTGTATTTTCCATTAATACTGGAGATAAGTGTACTGTATTTTCCAATAATACTAGAGATAAGTGTACTGTATTTTCCAATAATATTGGAGATATAAAGTGAATTGTATTTTCCAATGTGGAAAGCATATTTGAAGTCTATTATTTTGCTTTCCCAATTATATATTAGCAATAAGGAAGTGCTACTACTAAAATGACAACGAACCACTCTGACTACTGATAAAAAGAGTTTTGATGTCTGTATAGACTTATCAGGTGGCCTTTTTAATGATCCAGATATGGCAATATCTGGTCTCTGAAAACCACAAATATTGACTTATCCGCGGGCGCGGAACGTTTTGAGTGAACTTTGCTAGTAGGCAGAACATGTGGTTCGCCGGTGCTAAATTATCACAGATAACTAACGCGCATTTAGGAGACGCGCAAAAGTTGAAGTTGTTATTACGGTTTGGGCGAGCGATTTAGAAAGAGCCTATTCTTTTAGTACAGTGCTTCACACATCTTATTGCAATTCATTTTCATCTCTCAATCGGCCGACGGCCATACAATTGCAAGTGCACCATTTTGACATTTTATTTCAAAATAGCGATTTCTCGTCACGTTACAGTTAAGCGCCGCGCATTTAAGACAGTGATCGACGAATCTGGAAATATGAAATAAATAACTTAGCAAATATTGTTACCATAGTAACTACAAGTTGTAGCGCGATGCATGCACTACTGGGCCGCGCCGCGCATCAAATAATGTTTCTCGTTAGATCGGATGATGATTAATCATGCACTCTTTGTAGGTTTACAACCTACCAGGACGCGCGCCGAGTTGGACTCGTCGACGGTCCTGTATAGTATATGGAACAGATATTTTACGAGTATCACCCGTTAATGCACTCTACACTCGACTGTCACGTGACTTTTTCAACCCATTCTCTATCTTGTCCTGAACGACTATTCGAAACTTTAACCCTCTAATCATATCTGATCCCAACCCTAAACATAACTCAATCCCTAACAAAAGCATATGCTGAAACCCTTCACATAGCCATGTGTATAATATACGCGTACTGCGTGATCGCGCTTGTTTCACAAGTAGAATATCAATATACTTGCCGCTTTCGGCGGTCGCGCACTACTGCAAGCGAAAGGACTCTGGTTAGAGCAA